GGAGAATCCTTTGGCATGCAGAATGTTGGCCAGTTCTAGCATAGGGTTTATGTGCCCTTGGAAGGGCAGCGGGAAGAGGATAACTCTCCTGCCTTTGCTTTGCTCCATTTTTCAATCGACAATGTTTACGTTTGCTTAGCTTAACGTGTGAATTTATTGGTGAATGATGAGGCAGCTGAGCTTGGAAAATTCGCTCACGCACGCAACCCTGGAATCTTATCTTCTTGATGCCTTTGTTTTTGGGAGTAGAATTATCTCCCCTCATTTTTTTCCCTCCCCTTTCCTCTTCTCTTATTTGAACGGTTATGGTTAAGGCACGTCAATATCTTATATTAATTTTTTATAGCAAGAGAAAGATAAAATAAGAGAATGTGAGAGGAGGGGATGAAAATAGGAGGGAAGAGAATCATAGTCGAGCCTATTTTCAAATTATCTTATAGTTTCTGGCCATTTCACATTACAGGTAAATGTTATAAACAAATCAGGATGTCCATGTTCTCTAGAAATAGCCATAACATCTTGATAATTATTAATCATAGACTTCCTGTATACAAAGCTGGCAAAACAATTTTTTGTCCCAAACTATTTGCATCGTTGTTACCTCTTGACACAGCGTCATAAATTCCTTTGTAAATCTCACTTTTAAATTTTTTTTATTTTGTCTTATGTAATCCAATCTATCTTCATCTTCAAGCATCGCATAAGAATCTACTAAATACTGTTGAAAAAGTCTACCTCCTTTTAACAAAGTAGTTAAGTATGGATCTCTTTCTTGAATCAGATAAGCTATATAAGCTCTCATAGGTATTCTTTGTCTTTTTATTTTTGAACCGTTATAATTTTCATTCCATTTTAAATCAAGCCTGTAACCATCTTCACCATATGGAAAAAGAATAGGGTATTGAAGAGCCATAAATTTTGGATTCAATTTTGCAACACGTTTTAATCCTTCACTCATGCAATCTATAATAATATTTCTATTAGAGTCTGACAAACCTATATCATCAACTATTAATCCACCTATTTCATCACTTGTTGGTTGATCATATTGCTTACTATCATTTGGTTGTCTACCCAACAAAATCATTTTGAAATTGACCAAACCATCATTTTCAAATTTGTCTCTCGCTGTTCGAAAAAGTTTTACCAGCTCATTTGACTCAACAAACATCTTAATCAAGTTTTCAACAATTGTTGAATCAAGTTTTTCATTTGTTCTATCACAATTAACAGCCCTTAAACGATTTTGTGCTTCATTATATGTATCATAAACATATAATTGAGCAAATTTTGGTGACTCATTATCAACATGCAAAAGAGACCCCATCAAATGACAAACTTGACCACTAATTTTAAAAATGTAAGGACTTGATATGTCATTAATTGAATTATCAACTTTTTTTCCCATTGAAGTAAATGAAAACATCGAGTTGTAAGCTCTAATATTTTCTCGAAATGATAAACTTTTTTTACCTCCATTTGGATCAAGCAAGGAATCTAAAAAGCATGTGTCGGTTTTGGAGTTGAAAATTTAATCTTTCCTTGTTGACAACATAGAGTGAAAATGGGTTGATTTGTTTTCCATGTGTGTTTAAGAGACTCTTTTAACCAAGAATGCACCACAGTATACACATTTGTAATTTTTGTCACCCAAATCCATATAAAGTTTCATAATCCCTAAAAAGACAACACACAAAAAGAAAGAAAAAATTAATCACTACATGCAAGTAGCTAAACGGTAAAGATCAAACCTAAACGAAATAATCATTATACAAATTGTAAAACTCACCCTTTCTGGTTGCTTGGAAAAAGGATTGACCTTTACTCATGAAATTATAATTGTTAGCGCCTAAGCTTTTTCCAACAGAGTTTTCAACGCCAGTCGAGAAACCAATAATGTTTTAGCCTTTTCGATCACAAACATATATTTCATTTTTAAACGGGGTGGTATCTAATACTTGAACATCGCTCACAAGCATAATAACACATTGGTTAACAGAAGATGCACTGGAGCTCGTGAATATTCATAAACTAATGCATCAGTTTCGCTAACAGAAGTGCTTTCACAATTTTGTATATAAGCAATTCTACAAAGTCTTTTTGGTTGATGATTATTGTTTATACCATACTTGACCAATCCCGAAACTATGGCGCATCGATCAACATTATACCGTCAAGCATCCAGAAAAGTTTCCCTCCAACCAAGAGGCCAATCACAGTGCGACATGTGTCGACATCAGAAGCCAATCACAACACGACACATGTCAATGTTAGAATGAAACTAGAAACTCTCTTCTATAAATAGAGATCATTCTCTCACAATATTTCCTAATGTCATTTGTACTAAATCATTCACTAGTACTCACTAAAGGAGAGCTTGAACCTATGTACTTGTGTAAACCCTTCACAATTAATGAGAACTCCTCTACTTCGTGGACGTAGCCAATCTAGGTGAACCACGTACATCTTGTGTTTGCTTCCTTGTCCCTATCCATTTGCATACTTATCCACACTAGTGACCAAAGCAATCTAACAAACTTGACACTTTCTATTGTACCAAAGTCCTCATTGATTTTGTGCATCAACAATTATACTCACTCAAAAAATTATATTCACTATTGCCAATGTTTTCTTTTTGGTCTAGACCATCACTTATTGTAATTATAGATCGTTTAGACATGATACTAAGGAACTCTGACAACTAATTCAAAAGCAAACAACTGCAAAACAGATTTCGAAAAAAGAAAAAAAAATTAATAGAGACATAACACATATACAAATCAATATGGCTTATATCAAATGTAAACAGAAGTTTAAAACAAAGTTGATCTCAATAAACATAAACATAATATGAAACTTGACTTCAATCAGAAAAAAATGAATAAAACTATATAATTAAACTTTGAATCAAATGACATCAAAAGTTTATATTACTTACCTTTAGCACAGAACGTCTTCAAAGCCAAAAACACACTTCAAAAGCTTATAAAATAGAGCTTGTTCAAATACTGTAAAAAGGAAAAGAAAAAAAATTGTCTATCATCAGTTTACAAAATTTTATTAGGTTTGATAAGGATAATTTTAAAAAACCAAAATAAAAAAGTTTGAAAAATGGAATTCTACATCCCTTTTTTCAATGAATTTTGTTTCATTGTACACATCATATTATCTCAATCACAGGACAATCAATATATGCAAAACAGTTAAACTAAAAGAAACATAACCAAACATTGGAATTATAAATGTAAACAGTAAATCATACCACCACATTCATACAACTAAAAAGACAAAAATGAAAACATTGAACAACCAACCTCTTTGAAAGATTGCTGGTTCCAAGCTTTCAATGTTTGATTACTTTAGCAGGAACCAAATTAATCTGAAACGAAAACAAACCCCATTAATTGAATCATAAAAACCTTATAAAAATCTAAAACAACAAGATAACAAATTTCATAAAAACTGTTAAAGAAATTCCAATTAAAACTTCAAGAATTTAAATGAGAGAAAACGGTATGACTTAATTTGTGGAACCACACCATGGTAAAGTTAAAAGGGTGATGTTAATTGATACCCTCAATCAATTGAATCTGATGAGAGATGAGTTCCAATTGAGGATCCAATGTAGCAATAATCAGAGGAACTTGACATCATTTTAATTCATTAGGAAAAACACACAAAAACCCTAAAAGGAAATAGCTACCAAAATGGAGGATCACGTTGTTGCGGATGCCAAGGGACCCACAGAACCCATGGATTTCCAACTGGATGGAAGCGTATAGTTTAGTGTGGAGGACTATTACACACACATCAGACTTGGGTGTGCAATGGGAAACAAAAACCAGACCAAATATTTCACAAAAATTAATAACATCTCTAGAAATGGGTTAAAAAAATACCTCAGTTTGCAGAGAGGCTGTGCCCAAAGTGGCCTGAAAATTCGTGGGAAATCCGGCAACAACTTCGGTATGGCAGGCGGAAAAAGAAACAAAAAGTCTTCCGCCAGCGATTAGAAGTGGAGGATCAAACATGGAGACGAATTTTATGAGTCTCCACAGACCGCCAACAAATTTAGGTTCACAGAGATGCACCACTTCTTTCAAAACGCAGGTCGCAAAACGAAATCCCAAAAAAAAAACAGAAATCATGAACGCAGGATAAAACCACGGAGACCAATTTCGTGAATAATTTGCGAAATAAAGTGCGGAGAACAAAGGCGAGACCAAAACGGATGGAAGCACAGAGCGGCAAGAAAGAAAAGCCACACAGAAAGGTAGAGTAAACAAAACCGAGTCGAAGGCTAAAAATCAACGATGACTGACCCGTCGCCAGCATGGGCAAAATTGGAAATTCGTTGCACAAACAAAGGAGAAACCAAGGGTATATCCGTAATTTCACTGTTCATTAACAGTGCAAAACAGTAACATAAAACTGGGTTTTAGTATATGTACGAGAAAATATGCTCGCGCGTTGCTACGGGGACTTGAATATATTAGTCGCAACATGCATGAATAGTTTCCACACAAATCAACTAAAAAGACGTAGCATCTAAGAATCAATGAACAATTGGGACATCTTACTCATATCTGGTCTCAATCCCTATTTCAAATTCCTATTGGACAAAAGTCCTGTTTCTTCTTCAAATTGAATGGACATCATTGATCAAGCAATTAAACATTCTTACTGGCAAATAATTGACCAAGAGTTGAGCAGATATATAAGGATTGGAAAAAGAGGACGCAATTAAACTATATAATTTAACAAAAGTAAAGGTCAACACAACTCTTCAAATTAAACTATATATCTAATTTACCAAAAAACTTTGTAAAATTGATAGTTTCCCTGATATAAGCACTTAATTTTTCTATTTAAAACAATTTACCCATTCTTGATAAGTAAAATATAGCTTAAGCTTAATTTATTAACATCTTAATGCAGTTCAAAAGTATTTCCTGTTGTGGCGAGAAGGAGAAGCTATAGCCAACCCGCCTTAACTTTTAACTTTTTCCAGATGCATATGTACAGTTTACCTGCACCCTCATACCATGTGTCTTGAGCTGTTATCTATCATCCACTTGCAGCATTTTCGCTCTTCTGCACGTGAACCTCGGCAGCAAACGATTTCATCTGTTACCGGTTAATGGAGATGTCTTCTGCACGACTGGATTACAAAGGGAGAGAAAAACACATTATACTCAAAATCATCAGTAAAGATATTTTCAAACAAATCACAATCCATTACACAAAGTGGATCCAACTCCAAGGCAAGACTAAGCAAACACACAAACTGTATAAAAACCCAATAAAAGTAGAAGTGTAACAATATTGTTATGCATGTAGATTTATTCTCACCGATAACGAATATAAGAATTTGATGATCTTGTTACTCAAGCTCCAAGGAAAAATGAAATAAAATTCTATGGTTAAAATTAAAGGAAAACTAATGTAAAGGGCTTGAAAACTTTTAGTTTTAATGATAAGGACAAAATAAATGGTAAAGTGAATAGTACCAGGATTGACTTTTTAGTGTAGAAATGTGGTTTTTCGTTAAAGTGAACAGTACCGGGTGCTTTTCGTTAAAGTTCCCTAAAATTAATCCTTATGTAAATGTATTCCCCACATCTATATCATTTAAGTCCAACGAAATTCAATGGTTTCAACCAAAAAAAAAATCCTGATTGACTTGAGTTCAGGACATTCAAGTACAACGTAATTGAAATCAGTGCAAGAGATTCCATGAAAACATAACATACAAACAAAACTTAATAGAAAGCAGAAAGAAAAACTTGGACATGAGAACCGATAAACACATTGTACCATAAAATGGCTCTACATGAGAGGGAGCGAGGGAAGAAAAAGTGTAGAGAGAGAGAACGCACAGTCATAAATCTTGAAACATCCCAACGTTACAAAAGCAGTAGTACAAAATGCCTCACATAAAGATAGAAGAGCCCAACAATAAGTAAGAAAGACATTAGATGCTCCATCTATAGCACATTTTGCAACAACAGTTGGGCTCTTGAAACTAAAAGATCATAAATACATTTATGTAAGGGTAATCGGAACAAAAAAAAGGAATTGAAAGTCGATTACTGACTACTCCAGTGTTTACCCAATATTGGGGAATCAAAAATTTTAAGAGACCATGCAAATTTTGGAATCCAACTCCAAAATTTGGAGGAATTGGATTCCTTACAATTTGGTGGAGGTTGAATTCCGAGTTATTGGAATGCATTTTGCCTCCCCATTTATACCCTCGAAATATAAACAATCATTGGAGACCGAGCAGCACACACTCATAAATAAAAGATTAGCAACCTTTACTTAAAGATAAACATAATGCATACAGAAGAATAAAACTGCAACAAAAAAGTTTGCACACAAACTTTTGCACTGAAGATGAGAATTAAAAGAATCACAACAGACTTACCCTTTCAAAAATAAATCCTGGACCTACAGATTCAGAAAAACCCTGTGAGCCGTTCACATATACACCTGTCAAGGTGCACAACACTATTAAATGCTAGAGTTGACATCTACCTGTTCATTCACAGAACAGATACAGTGAAGGAGACACAGAAAACAAACCAAGCTTGAAGAATTGTTGTCTAATCTAAATTAGAGAACGCTCACCCAGAAGACAAAGTAATACACATTTAGCAGCAAGAGACCAACATGGCAATGGGAGTCTATAAAATAGTAGACAAATGGTCATAGTTATATTAATTGAAATTGTTCAGAAAAAAACAATGTTGAATACATACTTCCTTAGAATAAAAAATTTGATTAATTCATTATAATGGTTTTTTGTAACCCAAGTAGAAAAGGATACAACTTAATAATGATGGAAGCCACAGACCTATGTCATTTCTTATTCGGGATCAAATAGAGCATATTTCTTATTCGGGAACCAGAAATTTAAGATTGCAAGCTCGAGACTTCCATACCTCAAACCGAAGCCGGCGTGCTGTCTAGTAGTCCAAACCTTGATCCTTGATAAATTGAACTTCCTTCTTTGATCTAACAATCGAAAAATAGATAAATTAGGCAACATGTCATATCAATATAACACCCCTATACATACACACAGATACCAAAACAGCCTACATTCAGATTTGCATCATATCCTTGTTTCTAACTCTGGGGAATTTTCACAAACACCTAATAGGCAAGATTTGCTTCAATATAAAAGAAACCTGATTTAGTCAGTGATCTCAATTGCATGTATATCTGAACGACCATGCTTGTTAGTCAATCATGTTATAGGATGTATTTAACACTTACCAAACGGTTCCAAAACAACATCCTACATACATATTGTGTTGCCAAACTATGAATCAAGACCAAACTTTCCTACTTTGGTAATGTAATCTCCTAGCCTAGTTACAATTTGGTTCCTGTATTTTGACCTGAAAACAATTTTGGTCCCCTAGAAGTTGCCAATGGCACCCGAATTGTAACTGGAAAACAACTCAGACACAGCTATGAAAAATTAAAACTCGAGGCACCAAAGTATGAGAACAACGAAACCAAAATAGTTAAATTTACCATTATATCATACATACCATTAAAATTTTGTTTAGAGATAAAAATGGCAGTCATAGTAGAGAATCCAACCTGACCAAATAAAGTGGATTTCCTCACTTTCTAGTGCTATTATATTTACCGTGCTTGAGACTATTCAAAGATGAAAAAAGTGGAAATTTCATGCAATATGAAAACAAATCCCTGATAGTTAATACTGCTTGAGACTATTCAAAGATCACTAAAAGACAGCAGAATATAACTTTCATCAATGACATACTTTATGAGAATTTTGGATCCAAAAGTGGCTCCAATAAAATAAATTTAGACTCGTATATGCAATATATTAACATGTGAAAAAAACATGCATACCTAATGAAATAATGAGGAGAATGGCCTTTGACCCTTTGTTGTCTTTGATACAACTCTTTTCATCCATGCCTTCATGTTTGTATCCTTTGGGACATTGACATGAATAACTTCCAGGTGAATTTATGCATGTTGCAATATCTGGAAAGTAAGGAACCATGGACGACCATCAGTTAAAATCCCAATTTTAAATTGGTTGATTAACATATAAGTTTTATATATCAATGTTTACATCTACGTTGTTTGAGAAGGCAAATTAGCAACATATACAGTGATCAAAAGATTAACAGCAATAAACTGCTCATTATTCGAAATATACATGAAAGTTGTCATTCACATGATCCAAATGGTAGTTAATGCGAGGACAAAACAGAAGGAAACAAATATTATAGCGGCATAAGTTGAATAATTGCAGCAAGCAAACAAATAGAAGACTCAAAAACTAGAAATGAAAGCAAGTAACATTGAGTTTTAATAACCGAAAAGGGACCTTGTTTAAGCAGCTCCACAGCAGCATTTATACTTGGAGGATGAGCTGCAAAAACAGAAAAGAAAACACAAATTAAACTAAAAAATATAGAATTTAACACTAATCCAAGGATTAAATATCAAATATAAAGTCATTAGGATTGGGACCTTTGCATTGAGGAATATCTACTACATTATGAGTTCCCACCAAATCCCTATCTCTATCCCTCCCGCTCTCTCTCTGACGGCATGCTCTCACCGAGTCCCTCTACAGCTCATAGAAAGAAAGGAAATGAAAGTCGCCCTAACCCACCCAATCCGTTCGAAACCCTACAGACTAAAACGACCATCGCACCCCTACCTTTCCATGATTATCAACACACGGCATCAACAATTAATGAAATAAGTTTAACCATATATTCAAACAACGATGATATAAACAACAAAGAAATAAAATTGCAGAAAAATCTAAGGTTTAGATGAGAGAAGAATTAAAAGCATCTATTCAATTCAGGTGCTTGAAATTCATATGTTTACAATTCATCTACTGAATGGAGCGTGTAGAAATTGACTAAATTCATACATATGTTTAGGATTCATCCTTCTTCCTCATAAAATTGCTCTGAACTGCAATTTTCAATACAATTTGAGCCAAAATTTAATTTAGTATCTGTCATCATCAAAATCTTCTTCCGAGTCAAAACTCATGATTGGGGGAGTTCAATAAGCAACAGATAATTACCTAAAGGTTTCATCCACCAACAACAATCCCTTCATCAACAGCCGAATGAAAAAAAATAAAAAAATAAAAAAGTTTAAATTTTGATGGTGCCTTCTGTGCCAAAGATAAGATGAAAGAAAACTTAACATGTGTACCTGTTCAGGTAGAGTGAACAAAGATTTTATACAAAACAGAAAAATTAGCAATTTGCAAATTTATTTTGTCACGCCATAAAGTTTTTAAGAATTGAGTAACATATATTTTTCGACATACTGGTTCTTTGCGTGAATAAACTGAAGGTGTAACCCCGCCTTCTTCTGTGGAATGCTTCCCTAACTGCAATAGCAGACAAACTGATGATGATGGGGACTACTAAATTCCTGAAAAAAGCATGAAATTTTGAAGCTTTACAAAGTGTAACAACAAAACTGCACCCCGTGGAGAAACCACATAATTCACTAACCTTGATAAAGTCAGAAGTATCTGCATGCTGCCTGTCTGAATTCCTAAAAAAAGCATGAAATTTTGAAGCATTACAAAGTGTGCTTTTTAAAACTTGGACACAGGGCCTTCTTCTTCTTCCGGAAATTATCAAAACTAATCAAATTGTGGAATTCCAATCGTTAAAATGACATACCAGACTAAAGAAATATTGTCGTATGCCTCTCACTTCTTCAATGGAGCTATAGCTCCTTATACCAAGAACTGCAACAATTCAATCAAAAGTGAGACCAAGTTTATGCAAAGTAAATACATACACAATAACATTATATTTGACAATATAAGACATTGAATTCCCCACTCTTTGATACTTAATTACTCATCCTATTACCAAATAGCTATTGGAATTGGTTTGAGTTATAAAACCTGACTCTAAACAGGCCTGACTGTTATCAAATAGCTCTCGAAAATTCGATATGTAAAAACTGAAACAAAAAAATAGATCCCAAATCTCATCCCACAACGAACAATGAACCAAAGTTACATGAACAAAAACAATACCAACATTTCAAGCTGTACAAAACTAAACCCATTCAGGAAAGCACAAAGTCATAAATCCAATCCTGTCCCATTCAAAATTCCAATACTCGATTTTAAAGAATAAAGAGAGCAATAGCATTCAAAATCAATAGTTCGCAAGTCTCCAACCAGCATAGCAAAATGCAAAGAGAGGAAAAGTCTCCAACTTTCCAACCAACATAACAAAATGTCAAAAATCAAAATGCCTTATGGCATTAGTACAACACAAATTTCAAAATATTAGCAATAAATTTTAAAATGCCTTATCTAATATCATTATTGAGGGCATAAGTTGGAAGAGAAGACAAAAAACGAAAAGGGGTTGATGCAGGCAGTGTAAAAAGCATAAGAGAGGAAAGATACCCAAAACCAATCACAAATCATGGTGAAAATTCATGTTATAGCAACCCTAAATTCAAAAAAAAATCTCTCGTTTTCCATATTTTCTCATCAAACAAACCACATACTCATATAAAATCAGAAAAGTAAAATTACCAACAGTAGCGTGGTGGCTCGTATGATGGCGTTCCTTCGCCCACAGCGGCGTCGAGATTGCTTTCTGCAGCAAGGATTACAAAGGAAGTCCATAAAATTCATCGACAACTGGAAGAAAACAAAACCACCGAAAGTCAGAGATTTGCAAAACCGAAAAGAAATGAGAGAGACAGATATAGAGAGAGAGATTGGAGTACCGTAAGTGTATAAACATATTGGAAAAACAATTGCAGGGCAATTACTACAACTTGAATCAAAATTCCACTGTTTATTACACATTGCTTTGGAATTGTGTAAGTAGAGAAAGAATTGGAGTTCTTACAGTGTTGGCGAACTAAATATCAGATTCGAGCGCCTTGAGAGATTCACTGAAGGACTTCATTCAATGTTTATCAAATGTCACTAAATTCTATAATGTACATGGAAAAATCCAGAAATATTAGATATGAACAAAAATAAGTGAATCAGACGACTGTAATTTTGAAATATCATCTATTTGCTAATATAGCCTTTTTCCATCAAATCCTCTCTCTCTGAAAATAGCAAAAATATATGACCCTTTCTCTCTAATCTGAAGAAAAATCTGATCAAAATTTATAAAATTGGTTTTGGTTTTGTAAAAGTGTGGACAGTTAGAAGGGAATTTGTAGAGCGAAGAAGGGTAACGTTGTCAGTAGATGGGAAGCAAAGCCATATATGTAGCTCGGTTGGTTTAGAACCAACGATCATCCGCATAAAACTTTGACTTACACAAAAACCGATTGAAAAAACCAAAACAGATACCCAAAATTATAACCAAACAATCAAAACCCACAATAAAAAAAATTCATACAACAACAATGCTTTCACAGAAAAATCTCTAAAAAAACCCCACAAACCCCCTAATAAAACTCAATCTGATTACCTCGCCCTTCTCCCTCCCATCAGTCCCCTCCAAATCCATGGCAAGAGAGTGAAAGAGAAAGGATTAGAGAGAGGTTGAGTGTGACAGAGATGAAGGGAAAACACGGGATGGGATTACCAATCCCTGAAATCACTCTCCCTACCCCCAAATCCCTGAAATCACTCATCTGAACGTGCAACAGAGCATGGTCCCATCGACCCCATTCCGGTTCAGAAACAAAGGAAACGAAAGTTCCCTTCTAACCAATGCTCGTTCAATCACCGACACCACAATTGATTTGAGGAGAAAAAAATCAACCCTAACCCCCTTTTTGGCAGCCTCACTCATCCCTCTTCCTTCCCCTCCCTGCCATCCCACACCTCTCTCCCTGAAATCCGTCCACAAATCCTCCCATATATATCTCTCTCAGCCTAATCCGTGAGTTTTGGCTGAAGCACAGCCACACCAAATTTAGATCAAACCCTAATTTCCAGAATAATGATAAAAATTGACAAAAAATATATACAATTGGCACGTTACCATTGATTCGAGTTCTGGCGAGGAGTGCGGCGGCGAGGCGCCGAATCGACTTTGTCGTTGAAGAGCTCTGGAGCAAAATGGGTTTGTCGTCGAAGAGATCTCTGGAACAAAATCGGGTTTGCATCCATCCCCCACCCTTTCTACGATCGTCGACACGTGCACTCTGAAGGGTGGCAATTTCGTAAATAAATCAAAATTTTCAATCTGAAACTGAAGAGGCAGTGGCAATCTTGTAAATAAGTTGAAATGTGGTTCAAAACACTGTTCATTTGTACAGTGCAATTGAAAAGCCTTCTTTAGACTAAAGTAATAATTTGGAATTGTGGTGTTTTGTTTTATTTTTTATTTTTTATTTTTTATTTTTATTTTTAAAAGGCTTATTAAAAATTTTGGAAAATTAAATATGTTTTTTTTATTGTTATAGGAAAAAAGATTTCATTAAACAGAAAAGCCTCTAGTACAACCGATTCCCAAACAATCAAATCTAAAAGCATCCAAGGCCGAAGTAGGAACGTAATATCCTTAAAATATGGATTCGTCACTGCTAGACCCACGTGAGCTAATTTGTTCGCAACAAAATTTGCCTCCCTAAAAATATGATGCCATCTAATGCACTGAAATCCCGATACTAGCCACTTGATGTCCTCAATGATCGGTATAAGATGCCAAGGGGGGTTCCACTCCCCCTGCACCACCTAAATGATGAGCTTGGAATCTCCATCCATAACAAGCTTTCTCGCACCTTTGAGCCTGGCAAAAGAAAGACCCTCCTTTAAAGCAGTGGCTTCTGCGAGCAAGGTGGTGGCCCCATCGAGATTAAAAGCACCAGCTCCAACAGGTTGTCCAGCCTCATTCCTTAAAACAAACCTAGCAACCGCTTTATTTAAATAAACCAAGCCATCAAAATTTAACTTCACCAAATCTTGGGGCGAAGGCTCTCAACGAATGTTTGCTTGATTACAAAGGTTGCTTTTGTTAGTCCTTTTGCAATTGGCCTCAAAATAATATAAACCCACTCTAGCGGCAATGGCAATACTTCTGGCAGGATGAGGACTTATGCTTCTGAAAACTTTATTATTCATGTCATTCCAAATTTGCCGACAATTTAGATGAGCCTTACTAAGCTCACTCAAACCATTGAATTCATCATTGTTAATTAATTCTAACCAATCTAAAAACTCATTCGTATGACCAACATTACTCCATCATGTATTTAACGGGGGATCTGTTCTAGACTTCTCTTGCAAAATCATAATTCCGAAAAAGATGACTTTGTGTTTCTTCCTCCTTGCCACATAACGAGCAATCTTTAATAGCATTTTGAATGAATTTACTCAATCTTACCTTAGTATGCAATTTTCCTTGAATAAGCAACCATGCAAAATTTTTTACCTTAGGGGGAATGATTAACCTCCACAACCTCTTAAGGAGCCTTTGTCTATTCACTTCATGGTTTTGACTACTCTGAATCCAAGTAGCTGATTTAATTGAGAAATCACCAGTTGATGAATGATCCCAAATGAAGTAAACTTCCTTATTATGCAAGGGAATAGTTACCAAATAGATTTTTTTTTCACAACATCTAAATCTAATACTTGAGAAAGTTGGACTTTGTCCCAGTTCCCATTATCAATAAAGCACAAACTTTAGCTTCCCAATTAATATTCTGACGCAGATTAACTGGAATGATCTGTTACCGATCTCCGCCACAGCAAGGACCGACAATGACATTATCAAACGGAAGGGAAACCACTCACACAATAGTGAGAACGACTCTCAGGAAGAGAGAAGAACTCACACGGAAAGAGTTTTTTTGCCGCAATTCCTGTATGCCAATAATTTGGATCAACAAAAAGTAGACAATGTAAGTATGATGATTACTATATATGTATATTTTGATTGGAAGCATTCACTGTGACGAAGAAACCCTAAATTTTAATTTGGTTGTTATATTGGATGCCATATAGGAGGCTCTGAGACAACTTTCTCCCATGTTATTAAAACTGCATTCGTGTTGTGTTTTTCATGTTCGTGTTGTTTTCATGTCATACTTGATATTTTAATGGGTTGTGTCATGCAACACCTGTTAAAATGAACGAGTAATATGACCCAGTCCGAACTTGAACTGTTAATATTAACAGGTAATATAACCCGACCCATTATCCTTTAAAGAAAATTTATTTTAAACCAGTAAATAATCAAATAAAAAACATAATACTAAATTGGTATATACATACCACATTATCATATAAATATTACTTCAAAACATAAAAACACATTTGTCTTTCACGTATCACATAAATATTAATTAATGGATAAGTGTGAAAGATGTGTAAGATATTAAAAAAAAAAAATATATATATATATATATATATATATATATAAACGCTCGTACTAACAAGGTTTACAACTTTCATAATGGGCTTAACTTCAAAATTCGCCACTATAATCACATAAACTATAGATTGAAATGTAATCGTTGATAATCATTTACATTTACGCTCAATTCTTCTCACCAATTTTTTTTTTTAAGGTTTTCTTTTTTGAAAACATGATCTTTTAGAGGATGCAGGAAGATGAACGATTCGGATCATTGATATTACATTCAAAGTTTTACCATTAGCGAAATTATTGCTTAGAGTTTATAAAGTCTCCAAAAACTATATAACATCGACTCATATTCAGGTAACCGTAAATATTGGAACGTAATATCAACAATCCGAACCGTTCATTTTTCTGTATCCGTTAAAAGATCATGTTTTTAAAAAAGAAAATATGAAAAAAAAAAATTTAGTGAAAGAGTAAAGCGTAAACAATAATCAACGATTAAATATAAATCAAAGGTTCATGGATTATGGTGTCAGATTTCGGAGTTGATCCCTTCACGAAAGTTGTAAAGCTTATCATTATAAGTGATTGTATATTTTTTTCACATTTTTCACACTTATAAAATAATTATTACAAATTTTATTAATTTTGAACTCAAATAAAAACACTATTCATGAGGGTTTGGAGGGTTTAAAATTCTAAAAGACAATGTATCCATCATCTACGCGTGGAGGATGCAATCACGAGCGTTTATATATTCTTTCACATTTTTCACACTTGTACATTAATTATTACGAAATTTTATTTATTTTGAACTCCCCTAAAAATATTATTCATGAGGCTTTGTACGTTTTTAAAAATTCAAACAATGATGTACCCATCTCAAAGCGTAGAGGATGTGATCACAAGTATTTGCATATTCTTTTTTCACATTTTTTGCACTTGTAAATTAATTATTATACTTTTTAATATGTTTGGTGTTTTTAAATTACTTTGATATTTAATTTTTTAATGTGTTTTATAATGTTTTAATCTCACTTTTAAGAGGATGAAACATTTATGAGTATGATTGTATAAGAGAGAGTAAAAACTTTGCTACGTCGTTGACTCTGAAATTGAAAGTCTGTCATTTTGCTTATACTAATATTATACTAGTTGATTTGAATTTAGGATACCATGTCAAGTAAAATTTATCGTAGTAATGATAAGAAACTCTCATAATAAAAATAAATAAATAAAACTTTTTTTTTTAACTTACGTAGAATAGTAATACAATAATACATATTTAATATACAATATATACTATATTTTATAGTAAGTTTGTTTAGTAGCTTAACTTTCAAATCATCAAAATATTTTTTTCTTAACAGGTCGAAATGGGTTAACCACCAGTTACCTGTGTGTAAACCCGTTATTAATGGGTAACTTAGTAATTATCCGAAACTTATTATTTTCGTGTCGTTTACAAAATTGTCAGGCCTAATTAGAACCATTATTGTTTTGGTTTATTGGTATTCTGACCTACATCACATGTTCGAATGAGTTGAAGATTAAGTTGAAATGTGCGAATCGGGTAGTAAAGTGAAGACTGGCTTTTGTCGAGATTTTATTTTATACACATAATGTAGTTAACACATTGCTAAAAGCCTCTATTTATGTAAACACATAATGCAACCCAACAATTTTATTTTTATTTTATTGAATAAATAATACCACTTAGTAATTATTATTATTTTTTTGGTTAAACGATATATTTTCTTTTATTTAGTCACCGACAGGGTTTAAACTCATGCCTTCATGCAAGGGCTCAACTTATTTTCACCACTGTGGTAAAGAGCTACTTGCAATACCACTTAGTTTCTTATACAAACGATTTATAACGATAAAATGTGCTTGGCCAAGCCATCCAAAGATTGGTACGAAGAGCCACCTTCTTTGAGGCAACGATTTGCCTTTTCCATCAACTTTAAGGATCTCTCTTTGATCTCTTCCCCTTCTTTCTCAACCATCAGTCTTCTAATTGTTCTTTCAACCTCACCTCTCTCAATCCCATGCTCCAATTGCAGCCCTACCTTCCAAACATCACTCACATTTCTTGCAATCAGCATTTGCTCAATGTAACCTGGTGTACAAATCATAGGGACCCCTTCACAAATGCTCTCCATTGTAGAATTCCAACCATTGTGAGTCCAAAAGGCTCCGACTGCTAGGTGGGCCAACACTTCTTTTTGTGGAGCCCATTTTACAATGTAAGCCCTCCCGTTCAATGCTTCCAAAAACCCGTTAGGTAACGCTTCAAGCCAATCAAGCCCGTTAACCAACCCGGGTCGAACAACCCACAAAAAAGGTTGATTGCTATTGGCCAGCCCCCAAGCTATCTCCAAAAATTGAGCTTCCTCTATCTGAATAATGCTCCCAAAGCTAACATAAACAACAGATTTGGGCGCTTGAGTGTTCAGCCATGAAATGCAACTCTGATCTTGTGCCAATAAACTACTTGAAGAGGATATTGTACGGCAACACTTGTGAAATGGACCTGTTGGGAAAATGGGAACATTGGGCAGGTGTTCTTGGCGGATTCTGGCCAGAGCATGTCCTTCAAGATCTTCAAATGTATTTAAGATGAGTCCATAAGAAGACTTTGGTTCATTTGACACTTGGATGGCCAGTTGATAATAATTCTCAGGATCGGAACCGGGCGCCTTTGGCAGGTCTTTAACTTTGATAGGTGATAGTTCTGTGATTACCTCTTCTAGTCGAGAATCTAATTATTGCCAATATAATAGAAAGCCAAATATAAGTTGTTCAAGTATTTGTATATTATCATCAGTTCAATCATGTTTATAACCAGTGAACTAGTAATACTATGTACCAATGGCGAGTAAAAAGACATTTTGTAATATTTGACAATTATTCTGATAAAAGCACTATCTGTGTCAAAAAAAAAAAAATTAGCAACTCTATTTTATGCAACTAATAATGGTAATGAGTTATTTTGTTGTAACCAACATAGAAAGAAAGAAGCATATATCTGATGTACCTTGTATTGGGAGGTAACCCTTTTCCTTGAGAAGCGGAAACACAGCCAAAACAGCAAAATTAGTGGCGCACGAGACATCTAACAAGATCCTCGGAAGCTTAAAACTCTCCGCAATGGGTCGAGTGAAGTGAAGAAGAGTGTCTGAGATCAAGCAAGCAACGGGGCCTTCCAACTTAACATCATCCGATAACAACCTGGCCAGGCATTCTCTGAAAGGCTCGATACATCTAACATTGAGAAGATAAAAAAAACCTTTGGGATCCCTCGAGGCGGCCTCGGTTTCGGAGAAGTCGACAGGGATTGAATGGTACGTGAAGTGTGGGTTTAGGGTAGAAGGGTTGAGGGAGTTGAAGCGTGTGTGAATAATGGTTATGGAGAAGCCTCTGGAGTGTAGAACGTTGGCCAGTTCTAGCATAGAATTTATGTGGCCTTGAAACGGCAGTGGGAAGAGGATCACTCTCCTGCCCTTGCTTTGCTCCATTTTTGAATCGAGAATGTTTCTTTTTGCTTTTTTTTTTCTTTTTGGTCAAAGAATGTTGTTTTTGCTTACCTTTGTGTGACTTGTGAGCTTATGAATTTCATGTATATATAGATTACTGGGTCAGTGGAAACTCTTGTTTTACCACAAGTTAAGCGTGTCACCTTTAGCAGAAACAAAAAAAAAGTTTCACAACTTTATGACTTTATAACAAGGAGTGCAATTTAGGTTATGTTGTCTCATTATGTCACATGTCTGATTATTTAATAATACTGATAATTACGTTAATATTTCATGGGTTCACGACTATTATTTATATCATTAATATTGTTGATATTTTGACTAACCATATGTCGGTTTATTTAAAAAAAATGATAGACATACATTAGTTTATCAAAAATATTACTACTACCACATTTTAAATATCATATTTGTATAATCCCGCTAAAACCTTCTACAACAGACCAGAAAAGTAAGTATGATACCAATAATATAGGAATTAATTTCTTACAATATGCCCAAAAATCTGAGTGCTATGAGGGTGATTCTATTTTTAAGTTCAATATATTAAACTCATGAGTGTCAAGCCTATAAAATAAATAACAAGAAAAAGAAAATAGGTAGCCAATCATAAAATAGAGAAAAACAAGAAGTGGTTGGGTCTCACGTTGTACATATAAAACCCATAAACTCACACCACTCTACAACTAATAATATGTGATAAAACTTTACAACTAATAATATGTGGTTAAATTCATGACAATACCATTAATGTGACGTGAGTGGTGAGTCATGATGGCCACGATATTTGTTCGACAACGTGAATAAATTGTCACTTACAGTTCTTGCATTCACCATTTGGTCAGTAAAACATAGCATGCAAATCATAGGGACCGGCTCATAAATGCTCTCCAATGGTCCAAAGTAGAATTTATTGATGGACGAGTATTCTGGCCAACTTATTAAGTGGACCACTTAGAGCAACTCCAACCCTATTGTTCGCTGACGTTATGCTGGTGTCAGTATGACGTTAGATAGGTCAGTTCCTACCTCAGTTTATTTTGGATCGACCTACAAACTGACTTAGACTTTGGACCGGCATATTTTTAAGAGTGGGGTGGAGTTTTTGGGTACCAGCCTATTTTGTAGGCTTTGGGCCAGCCTAAGTACTGATTTGATACTAATGTGCTTTTATAAAAAGTGGGTATAAAAAAAAAACTGAGCTTAAAAAAGTGTTTGGTAAACACTTAAAAACAACTTATTTTCACTTTGGGTGAAAAAAAAACTAAAAACGTGAAGCAGCAAAAATGATCTTATTTTCACAACATAGCATAAATAGTTTTTTTTTTTTTTTTTAAGCAAAGTACTACCAAATCAGCCCTAAAAGATAGGGCTAGAGTTGCTATTAGAGAATATCACTTTGCCATGGTTGCCAGTACTCCTGTTTTTCTTTCATGCGTAACCAAACACACTCATTCTTTCTCGCGAGCAACCATAGTTCTGCGCATCCCAGATACAATTTGATGCATGATTTTTTAGAAAATGACCTTAACCTCAAAATCATTGAAACCATGTATATTGTTGCTTCTAGTTCATTAGAAATGACTGATTTAGTTTATTAGGTGATCTGATTCGGTGGATGAGTGAGGTCGACTGTGAATCAAATGGAGGAGAGGACGGATGAGGGATTGGGGATGGGCTCCACGAAGGAGGAATTGGGGATCGGTTCGACGGAAGATGGAGGTTTCAGCGGAGGAGAGGGTTCGACAGAGAAGAGAGGTTGGTAGAACTACTAGGGCTAGAATCAACGGAAAGGTTGGAGGAAGGGGTACGTTAGTGTTCGACGGAGGAGAGTGGTACCAGAGGGTGAGATTTGCCGGGGTTTTTATCATTTATAGCAAAAATTTACTCCACAAATTCTTAAATATCATTTTTTATAAAACAATTCAAATATAGTAAAAAATTCACTTAAATAGACCTAATGACCCTCAAAACTAAAACTTAATTACACCTAAAACTAAAACCTAATTAGTTCTTCAGTATCATTGCTACCATATTAGGATCCAGAAGCAGCATCATTAACTTACTTAGACTTTGAATTTGAATGGTGTAAGAAGACAATCACAATAAAATCAACTCAAAATATTCTCATCTTCCTACACACTTTTCTGGGGTGATTTGTGTAAGAAACTTAATGTGAGTTTCATCAAACATTTGACAAGTGTAACATTATAAGTTAAGTGAGTTATATATATTGAACTTAGCCTAACTAATGCACTAATGCAATATCCGGATTTAAAGTCTTGGAGGGAAACCTAATGAGATTCAAACTAATTTGGATTAGACAGTTACATTGAAGTTGTAACTAATGGTCACACATAACATAACCATTCGAACCCAACTCGGTGAAAAACCCATCCGAGTCATGATGGCCTCCAAAAAATGCCATTCCAACCGGTCGTAGGCCTTACTAACATCCAGCTTCAATGCCTTAAAACCATTCATCCTCGAGGATTTTTATGCATATAGTGAGCAACCTCCGCCGCCACCAAATAATTATCTGAAATCAACCTCCCAGGAATAAACGCACTATGAGTGAGGGAAATTATACGAGGAAGAACAGAGTTCAAACGATTTGTTAACAGCTTCGACATAATTTTATAAATTACATTGCATAAACTGATAGGTCACAACTGAGACATCTTCGTAACTTCTTTCACTTTGGGAATCAAAGTGACATGAGTGTAATTGATCTTACGTAGTATATGACCAGATAACACCATTTCACAAACTCCTCTACATACATCCAACCCTACAATTCCCCAATGCTTTTGGTAAAACCCTGGAGTCATGCCATCAGGCCTCAGAGCCTTAGTAGGGTGCATTTGAAACACAACACACTTTACTTCATCATCCGACATAGGTCTCTTGAGCTCAACGTTCATATCCTCCATTACCAAAGGCGTTATGTTACTCAAAACTTCTTCAAACATGGTAGCATCATTCGATGTAAACAAGCTGGTAAAATAGGAAAGCACGACATTCTCCCTACCCTTTTGGTCCTCATGCCACACCCCACCCTTGTCCGTAAGGCCATGCAACCAATTCCTTTTTTTTTTTTTATTAGCTTTCTGATGAAAATATTTCGTATTCTGATCCCCAAGCCTCACGCAATTTTCCTTCACTCTCTGTCGCCAGAAGAGTACCTCCTGCTCAAGTAAGAGATTCAACCGTCCTACCAGTACTTTCTTTTGTTTAATGGACTCACTTGTCAACGGCTGCCCCAGCAAACTCGTGAGTTTATCCTTAACTTCCCTAATTTCTTGCGGCCCTAACCTTATGTTACTTCGAGCCCACCTATTCAACAACATTCTTGTGGCTTTGATCTTCTCAGTCACCTGAAAAATAGTCGAGCCTTCCACACTAGTATCTCAACCTTGCCCTATCACCTCATCACATCCCTCATGCATATTCCAGGCCTTCTTATACCAGAAATGTCTCTTCCCTCGGCTAATACACCTCTCATCCCATGTGAGCAGGATTGGGACGTGGTCAAAAGATGTTTTATTTAAGTGTTACAACCTGAACCTCGGAAACAAATCAAACTAAGCTTGTGTACCCAAAGCACGATCCAGATGTACCTTGATACCACCCCCTCTGGTTGTAAACCACGTAAAGATGTTCCCAGAATAATCCAAATAGTTGAAATGACACCTCTCTACAATGTTTTGAAAGCCCTCTATTTGATTCTCACTCCGAATATTACCCCCACATGTTCGTGTACTTGCAGAATTTCGTTAAAATTGCCTATGCACAACCAAGGACTTGACTCATCGCCATAGAGTGTATCCAATAGCTGCCATGACTTATACCTATCACAAACCACCGGATAGCCATAAAACCTAGTCAGCCTCCAATATCTACGATCCCCAGGCTCCTCCACATCAAAGTCAACATGGTTATTTGAATAAGACTACAATCTCAAGTCAATCTCTTCCTTCCATAATACACATAAACCTCCCGAATTTCCATTACTAGCAATTGTAAAACTTCTATCATAATTCAACTTCATCCGTAGGCGTTCCAAGTAACGAACGTTGCTCTTCGTCTCACAAAGAAACACCACGGTGGGATCTTTATTCAAAATCAAACGTTGAAGCGCATGAACTGCACGGAGGTTCCCAAGCCCCCGGCAGTTCCAACTCATGCAACTTATTGAGACCGGCGGGTTTGACCACCGTCAACCTCTGCTGATAAAATAGAATCAACCTCATTGACCATAATCATTCTACGTTCACTAGAAGGTGCCAAAATATCATTCTCTTCACGCTCAGCACGTTTCCCTAAAGCCGGTAGCCTTGTACTTGTGGATACTTGAGCAGAAGAGGGGGTACCACGTTGAGCTGTGCCCCTCACCCTCCTAACTCGTTTTGACTTCCTCCTCCTCTTTGTCTGCAATTGTTCAACAATTGGCATAAGGTTAAATGGGTCAGACCCCATCTCAAACTTTCCAAACCCCACAACATTAGATCCCTCCTCAAACTGCCTGCTATGAGGAGGCAGCCCCTGATGAAAGGATACCTGATGCTGAACGATATTAGAACTAAACATAAGCCCACTCCCTCTCACCTCATCCTTATTGTATGCTTCATTGGGCCCATCAGTTAACATCAAGCATGTACTCCTCGAAACATGTCATTATCAACATTCGGGACATTCAAATCAAACCCAAAGAGTCTCAAACCACATGAGTCAATTGATATGTCCCCCTGATTAGTCCCCATCAACGCTAGATCAACTGGAAGTTCCTGAAAATGGACAACAGCTAGGTCATCAATGGACATCTCATCTAAGTCGACGCCCTCATTATTGATCCTATTATTCCGATCATTCCCCACTGTACTGTTTTCCAATTCATCATCCCCCTTCGCCACTAATCTAGACACAGCCGTCCTGGAGGCCGAACCATCGAAGAGTAATTAAACTCCTCCTCATTCACGTCCATCGATGCTTTCGTTGACCATCCATGTGAAGGCTCCAAGCCAAAACGAGTACCCTGTGTTCGACGGTAGTTGGCTTCAAGAACATCATTCTGGAACCATCGACCGTAAGGTTTCGTTAAATTATC